AACAACCGTTTCAGCGAAAAGAAAAAAATTCTGTAGGATTGAAAATCGTAACAACTAGCTGAACATATTTCGAGTGGGTTCGTGCAACTTCTCTGCCGCTCTTCAAGGAACCTTCATACCGCAAGCTTTGAACGTCGTTGATTCGAGCTTTGATCACAGAAAATACGGTAGAAAAATTAACCTTCGGTCACAACTACGTTTTTAAGGTCCTGCTGCCGACAGTCTTCGGCCATCTTCAGTACCATTTCAGTAGCAGACAGTTTGTCCGCTTGATAGATACCAGCTTCGTCATCGGGAAATTCTGCCACATTAAATGCTGTAGGAGTGTTCAAGAACGGGTTCCAAAAGCCCTGGATCGATGGCGATTCCGTATGCTGCATCTCTTCAAATTTTACGATCGGAAAGCCTGACCTGGTCCGCAAGTAATTCACCCACTTGTTTACTTCGAGGCGACTAAACAGCGAAAAACTTGTAAAAGATGCCTATATTTCGATATAAACATGTTTTCCTATTAGATATATGGAACAAGTACCCGGATTAAGGCAGATGTGAGATGGACCGAAACTTTGGTTCTCTATGTAAATTTAAACTGTTAATTTCTTGCGTTGGATACGATACAGATATGCAGAAAGAAAACAGGACAGTACGTGTAATATTTGCCATCCAACTGAAATCGTGTGCTACACGGTTAGGGGAGTGCGACAAGAAGTCAACGCCAAGAGGAAGAGAAGGTAAGTGTCCGCCAGAAAATAGCGCGGAATGATACTGTTATAAAAGAGATAGCTCATTTCCGGTATCCTGGAACTGTGATCATGACAATGGCAATGACAGACCGGTGCAATGAACTGGTTAACACAGTCATCAGAGACTGCATCACAAAACGAAAGACCGAACAATAGAAACTAATAAGAAAGTCACCATACTGAAAGCAGCTGAAATTCACGATATTTATGTTGTTTGAAAATATCTGCTGTACCGAAATATCATACAACATCGTCTACTATCAAATTAAATTATCTTCAAAGTGCAATGGTACCAACGCATCATGAAGTGCCGGTAAAAGAAGTGCCGGTGCTACAAGAATACAGTAAGATAAACTCAGAGATCGCTCGCTGTCCGGCGAAGTTTGACAAAAACAACCCAAAAACAGAATGAAAATATTTTCTAAATCTTGCTCGCTTAGGATCGAACGCCGTATAAGTACTGGAAGACAATGAATAATCAGTAAACACTTGAACTTCGTTGAAGCAGAGCTGTTTGTGACGAAAAATATGACTTTGCCACAGCAGTGAACGCTGCCTAATATTAATGTGAAATACCATTTCTAACGATCAAGCACCGTTCTAAGTTATTTTGTTACTTAAGTTCTGTTAACCTTAGACAATAATAACAAAACATCATCAAGCAGTTGATGCCACTGAAACAGAAACTAGCCACAAACTGCGCCCAACCGTGAAACTGTAAGTGAAACTGAAATTCCAAGGGCTAAGAACTTTCTTTTTCCATTTCTGCTGTCAGGACAAGTAATGTTTTAAAGAAGAAACAGCTCACAGGCCGAAGAATCATGAATCGCAACTGTTACTGAAACAACATGGATACAAACTGACTTTAATCAAGAACTGTCTTTTATTCAATTACAAAAAATCCTGTTGTCTTGTTTTAATGTTCTTAGTTTCCTACTATCAAGCGTGGTATATTTAGTGAAGGACACTGAAGCAAAGAAACTCGAAACTCGAATGGAGTCCCTTTAAAGAACTTATGAAGAATAACATATTACGGAGGAATTCTGATTAGTCGCTGCTAGACAATTCAAGTCAGCCGTTGTACGA